CCCCAAAACCCCAAAACCCCAAAACCCCATAAAATTGCAATAAGTTAAGGATGAAGTTATGATTTATTTTAATAGAAAAATGAAATATAATAATTTGGATCAAATATTAAATGTCTCACTTGCTTCAGAAAAGTTTACACTATTATGATAACCAAGCGATTGGGATCTCACAAGAATCCAAATATTTAAATTCTCAAACCTCAATGATAAACCCCCAGGGATTTGATATTCTTAGAGTATAAGGAAATTTTTCTCCACCTGTTGCTTCTTCAGATAGATAAATTGATAAGGAGTTCGAAGTTATAAAAATAGTAGGCTAAGGCTCGTTTGGTGTAGTTAGAAAATGCAGATCGCGATAAGATGGAAATATATATGCAATAAAAACGATACCAATTGAAAAGCTATAGATTAAGTATAAAGATGCTCGAGATTATCTAAAAGAAGTATTTTTGAATTACTTATTCATCCTTCAATACTTAGGTAGAAATTATGAAGGATTTATAGCATTAGAATATCATTTAACTTGTGGATTCATTTATAGAAAGCATGGCTTCATCGCCACAAATAAAAAATGGTAGCTCTCAAACTGAAAGACAATAATCCTTTCTGCATATCATAATGGAGTTTGCAGAGAATGGTGACGTCTATTAAGTAAGTTTTATCACTTTTTCTCTTTATTTTTATATTTGATTAAGTATGTATACATACTATCAGTATACATACTATCACTCTCTGAATATTCGATTATAATTCCTATTCTTATAGCTGATATAATAACAAAAACAGAGAGGGAGATATTTTTCTGAAAAAGATCTATGGCAGTTTGCTTGGTAAATGTGCCTAGGTGTTCTGCATTTGCATTCTCATGACATTATTCATAGAGATATTAAATGTATGAATCTCTTGCTACTTGAAAACAACTAAAAAATAAAGCTTGGCGATATGAGTGAATCTCGAGTTTTGGATCATCAAAGCTATATTAAGACAAATAAGATAATTGGAACTCCGCAATCATTAGCCCCTGAAGTCATTAAAAACGAGAGTTATGATTAGCGGACAGATATATGGGCTCTTGGCGTAGCATTATATCATATGAGCTGCCTTGAGCCTCCTTGGCAAGAGGATACAATTTAAAACTTATTTAAAAGTATCCTCTATAAAAATCCAAAACCCATCCATACTTGTTATTCCTAAAAATGGTCGGAGTTCATTTTCATGCTTCTTGATAAGAAGAAGGATTCTCGACCCTTAGTAATAGATTTGATAGACTATTTTAACTAAACACTTCCATAATAGATTTGCTTGAAGCCTGATTCAATTGACTTTGAAAATTACTATAGATATAGTGAGTAATGCAGAAAAGCATATGATAAGAAACGTATGATTGAGAGTAACTAGATTAGCATTAAGAATGAATTTTCAGCATTAAAGCGAAGAGTTGTAACAAGGGGAAAAAATTTCAAGGCTAATTACCTTAATTACAAAGGGAACAACTAAAGCTAAATAAATCAGGTGCTAAAGGATGCGTAGTACTCTAATATTTTACCTCAAATACAGAACAACAGAAATTTTAGTACAGCAAAGAAAGGTCAAAATAATTAAACCATTGAAGAGAATAATTTAGAAAAAAATAATGCAATGGTCAGGTTGACATCAGCCAACATTTAACCATAATCTTAAGACTTATAAATGAAGGAAGTCATATTGGAAAGTCATTTGAGAAGCTTAAGTGGCACAAAACCAGTGACTCAGAGAGGATCTCACATTAATAAATCTATTGGGGGAAATATGAAGAGAATGAGTGGAAGCATTGATAATTAATTGGGCTCATTCACAGATAAGCAGTCTCCAAGAGTAGAAAAACATGATACCTTCTTAGATTATGTTAGTGAAAACTATTTAAAATTGCAATTTCAAAATTCAGAAAAAGGAAGCCATATATAGTCCACTCAATAGCATTCACTATACATTGGAGATGATAGTGATCATAGTCCTCCTTAGTATTAAAACTTTAGCGAACCCTATAGGATAAAAAACCTAAAGGGAAATTTTACTGGAAATGTGATCTTCAGGTAGCCAACTAAGAAAGTATCTCAGCCATTAATAAAGCGTATAAACTACCAGATTGTATCGAATGCAGGAAATTTTCATAAAGACAAGTAAATCAGCACTTTAGAGTAAAGAGATAGTGAATTTTAGCAGTCTCAGTTTGACTTCGATAACTTTGATAGCTACAACAACCTGAATTTGCAACAAAAATCTAAATCAAGCTATGATAATCATTCTAGATCGACTCATGGCCCGGGAAATATCAGCGATCGAATCAAAGACAGCAAAATACTTCAAAATAGTGAGATCATGGACTAAATTTTTCAGCCAAGCAGTTAGGAAATAGCTGCTATATAAGATAAAAATTGGAGTCTCTTCAGCAAAAGTTTTAAGAAATAAAATAGTTAGCATTAACCTAATACAACCTAGACTTAAACTAGCAGTTTGGATGATGGAAACTCAATGAGGGTAAGCATTAACTATAAATAAATCCTTAATCAGCCGTTTGGAAGTTAACATATCTATAATGTCAAGAACGACGACAAGGTATTGGTGATTGGAAAGGATTAAATTAATTTCAGCATTCAATCTGCATAGCATAATCTGTAAACAGGTAATTTGAATAATAAAGACTACAACCAAACTCAAAAATTTGTGTCAATGAAATCGCCTATTACACACTGTTAAACAACTACCCATTAAAAGCATGATATAATTGAAAGGCAGGAAAGTTTCATGACGAATCAGAGTACTCATTAGAGACAATCATCACACTAGTAAGCCAATAATAGCATTCCTACAGCACCAAGTCAATTCAGCTAGTAAAAAGCAGGGAGTGAAACCAGAACTCCTACTGGCATTGGAATAAATCAAAGTCAGAAGTAAGTATAAATATCAAAAAGAAAAATAACAATTAGAGATCTGTAATGAATATATCGTTAATAAATATGTATATAGCAGTATAATTAGAATCCTACCAATTTATCTGAATTAATTTCTCAGAATAAGACCTTTTCTATTTCTATAATATTTGGATATTCGGGGTTTTGGGGTTTTGGGGTTTTGGGG